TAAAAGAATTGTTACACACATATTGTCGACCGATAGAGAAACTCTTTAAAGATCCTTTTTGAAGAATTCCATGTTGCAGTCTTTTTGAATACAACAAATATTAGTTATAATTAATTCCATAAGTCACTGTCAAATTTTAAAAATTGTTTTTAATTATTATATATAACGTTTTATAGATTATTTTTATGTAATGAATAAGTGCCATAATAACATTTACAGGTTATATTAATGTAAAAGAACATACTCTAAACCTGTTCTGGACATTATGGTGCTGATGACAGCTGACATTTTATCACTTTTAACCGTTAAGTGTATTGAAAGATATTTTTACAGACGAAGTCAATTTAACAAGTAATCATAACTGAGACTTTCTTTATAAAATCAAATGTATAGTAAAATTTGTAAGTAATGTTATAGTATTTTTTTTTTTCTAGTTTTACTAACCTATATATCACCTGCATCATGTCACAACGTACAGAGTAGATATAAGAAGTTTACCGCCAAAAATGTAATAACACAGATAATTTTACCTACATATTGCACAGATAATACATGTAATATTTTAATCTGCCGTTATTGCTTCTTATTCGAAGTATACCACATTTTTCAATTGCAAATATATATTACGTAAATTCTAACCTCGATTAAAACATCATGACCATTTTATTGAACAATTAAACAATACAGTACGTACACGAGTCAATGAATATAGTATGTAACACATATATTTATTGAATAATTGATTTTGATTTTATATTTCTTTATTTAATTTTGGCAAGACAAATACGGTCACAGTTTTATGTTTTCTTACACTAAACGATTTAAATAATATAAAGAGAGTGTGAGAGAGAAAGACAGGCAGAAATACGAAAACATAAATATTAGAAATTGTACCTGCATTTTGTAAAATTTAAAGTAAAGTAAGTACATATAAAAAATAAAACTATTTTGTTGATTTTTTTATATGCCTAGTACCTACACAAATATTTAACTAGGCGAATTGAAAGTTTTCAAAGAAAGCCGTTTCTCTTTATAAAGTTAAAAAAAAAGTAAAAAAAAAAATATATTGAATAATTATGGTCAATGGTACAGAACTGTCTAGTAAGTATTGTTAGGAACGAGCATACTGAGTTTTCTTATGTTATTCTTAAATTTCCATTTGTTTGTTAATGTCTAACCTAATATTTAAAAATATTGGGGTCGATACTGAACTTAAATAATTTAATAATTTCTCGAAATCACTATTTTATAGACCATCATAAACAACATTTATAATAGATTTACAATTAGAACTTTTCGTTCATATTGGTACTTAGTATAAATAAAGATTTGGCTGTGGTATCAAATTGAATTTTTTTAATTTTAAGACAATTTTAGAAAAATGGTGCTTCAGAATCGACCTCATTGCGTACTGTACTGAGATATTATCTTGACGTAACAAATTATAATTATTCTTGATTTACAATTTTGGAAATGCATTTCGAAATTGACCTAAAAATTGTTTTTATAAAAATTGAATTTCGTTTTTATTCGATACCGTTTCACAATAATAGTTTTGTACTATTTAATAGGTATATGACATATATAAAAACGTATTAAATATTTAGTTATCTTTAACAGTTTTATGTACGTAATTATTAATTATTTAAACTAATATATTTTTATTTATATAAATATAAGGTATCATTGTTAATTGGACAAAAACATTGATGCACATGTTAAATTATTAAAGTAACATTAAATTTATTAATTATTTAAATATACTCGTTTATACTTAGTATTAAGGTATTATATATAAATAAGGTATTATATAAAAAATTAGTATATGTATAGATAAGTAAAAAAAGTTTGTGCCACAAAAGTTTTTAACGAGAGATATGCTCTTGAGAAAGGACTGTATATTTTATGAAATAATAAAACGGTCGCTGCTAGTGGTAGAGAAAAATATAATCAAGAATTAGTCAATGACATTGTCAGATATCAAAAAAACAAAATAAAATATAAAATTTAAAAATATTCTCTAAAAAGGTGCGTTCTGCACATGCTCCCCTCTTAAACAGATGGGAACAACCCTTTTAACAGGTCTACGAATTACGCCTGCCTGGGTATCGATGTCTACGACCCGTGTCACGCCGTCCCTACCTGGGTACAAAGTCGTAACTAGGCCTTTAGGCCAAGTACCTCTTGGTAACGTTCCGTCCACGACTACAACGACGTCTCCAACTGAAATTTGCGGCACTTGTCCTACAAATCTTCGTGGTGATAGTGTGGGCAAATACTCTGTAATCCAACGCTTCCAAAAGTGATCAGCCATTCGCAGCGCTTTTCTCCAACCAGATCTACTGCACATGTCACTGTCGGTTAAGTTGACTGGAATAAGACGGCCTGAGGAATAGCTCAATATAAAGTGAGATGGTGTTAGGGCTTTAGGATATTGCGGATCACATGCAACGTGCGTTAGGGGCCATGAGTTAACCAAATGCTTCTGACTCACAAAGTAAAGTGGTGAATACTTCATCGGTGGGTGATCTTGTAATGTTGCCTGAGTAGGATCTTGAGCGGAGACTAACAACACTGCTACAGTATCATGTGCCTCTCCCCGCAGCGCCATATTGATACGTGTTAGGTTGTCCGAGACAGAATATCTTGATTTTGTATTGTCATATACACGTTTGAAGGTTAACCAATCTAAAGGCTTGCCATCAAAAAAAGGTAGACGACCATCTCCAAATTTTATGTTGTGTTGACTTTCTTTTGAAAGTGATGTAATTGCTTCTGCTAACAAGGCTATATCACTTGGAGTTTTATTAATAGCGGAGGAAATTTGTTTAATTTTAGTCGCACTAGAACTGGCCCTCGCCGGGCTTGTGCAAACTTCGAAATTATTAGCCACATTAGATTCTTTTAGAATAGGCCGAAGATATTGAGAATCTGTGGTAGGCACAGAGTTGAAGCTATTGTTCGGTATTTGTAAATGTGCCGCTAATGCCACAGAACAATTGCTATTAGTAGTGGGTTTACTACAGGACGTATTAATTTTAATGTTCTGCGGTTGCTCATTTACTTCCACTGAGGGTATAGCCTCTAGACATGTGTCTAACCATTTTCGTACCTCTCTGTTAGAGATGTGACTTGAACGACTATTACGGGTACGTATACTACCTCTCTCCTCCAAGGCGGCGATACGTGCTTGTTTTTGTAGTTCTAAAGCGGCGCGCTCTTGTTCCACTACCACACGCTCGCGCTCTTTGGCACGCTCCAATGCAGCGCGTTCCAGCATCGCAATTTTTTGAGCGTAATCCGCTTCTATTTGTAAGGTACGACTCCTTACAGTAGTTGAAGACCTTGTTGCATTCGCTTTTTTAACTGATCGTGTCTCTACCACCATTGTTCTTTTATTAGCGAGAGGACCAATATTTTAACGAGAGATATGCTCTTGAGAAAGGACTGCATATTTTATGAAATAATAAAACGGTCGCTGCTAGTGGTAGAGAAAAAATATAATAATCAAATCGTGACATTGTCAGATATCAAAAAACAAAAATATAAAATTTAAAAATATTCTCTAAAAAGGTGCGTTCTGCACAAAAGTTATTCATCAAAATTGTGTGAAAGTTGAATCCAGTGAATATACGTGATGTTATACAAAAAAAAAAGTGAAACCCATAACGCATTAAAAGTTAAATTCAATCAAAATAATAAAAAAGAAAAATGATTAGCTCAGAATTGAAAAATCTTTAGTGGCATGAATAATTTGGTGTTTTGATTAGTAATTCCATTTTCTATATTATTATTATTTTTTTTTAATTATTATTTATTTATTTGACAAAAAACACAAAGTTACAAACACAAGGTACAATGGGCCTCCCACTAGGCGAACCTGTATGATTTGCTTATAACCGATTTCTAATGTTTTTTGCAAAATTGACAATGATACCAACCTATTAAAATATGGAGGAAGGATTGCTAGTAATGCGGATAACCAACTCTATTGCTAGCAGTATACCTTAGGTCGATCCTTACACGGTCCTCTCTGAAAACCATCATGCTGAATTCCAGGTGTATTCATCACGATGGGCTAATTGACTTGCCTTCTCATCGTCACCTATCCTTATATATATCCTTCACTGGTGCTCCGCCGTACACCATTAGCGCGAAGGGACTTTTTTTAATGGGTTATAATGGAATGGTAACCCCGCCTGCGCTATCGGTATACGTTGGCGGGGCACCAGTGAAGGATGATAGGTGAGGATGAAGCAGGTCAGTTAGTCCATCGTGACGAATTCAACTAGAATTAACCACGATGGTTTCCAGGGGAACCACGCGTAGGTCGACCTGACAGAGTATATTGTTAGTAATGGGGTTATTTGACCCCGTTACTAACAATCCCTTTCCCCCCCGCGCGAAGGGTGTTACCATTCTATATGAAATTGAAATGAATCTATTTTGGTAGAATGTAGGTAGTTTTAAGACAGTTGAGGTTTACATTTCCCATATACATTCTGTCTGTATGTCGGCGTGCAAATTATTAGCAATATTAGAAATGTACATCTATTCTTTATTCATACATTTATTTTATATAGTTATCCATTAAAAAAAAAAGAACTTAATAAAATTTCGTAAATACACATTATTTATAAACGTTTTTGGCTATAATCGTTATAATATTTGACTCGTTCAGACGCAAAAGAAAATAAAGACTTGAACGTTTGCATTATGCAATGCTATGCGGTAATATTTACTCACAAACGGCCTTAACCCTCACAAGTGTTACCAATAAAATATTTAACCTAAAGTTCAAATATTTTATTGATATATATATATATATATATGACAATTCAATGCTAATTTAGTGGACATGTTTATGTATCATAATTATCTTGATAGAATTTCAATTACTAAACCAAGGAATGTTAGTAGGAACTAATACAGCAATATATATATATATATATATATATATATATATATATATATATATATATATATATATATATATATATATACCCAACCAGGTCGACTTCCTCGCGGTTTTCCCTGGAAACTATCATGGTTAATTCCTGATGAATTCATCATGATGGGCTAACTGGCCTGTTTTCATTCTCATCTATCACCCTTCACTGGTGCTCCGCCAGCGTATCCCGTTAGCGCAGGCGGGGTTACCATACCATTTTCACCCATCAAAAAAAAATACAGGAATATAGGGGGGGATGCATTGTTAGTAATGCGGACTACCAGTCCCATTGCTAGCAATGCACGCTGTCAGGTCGGCCTCCACGTAGCTCCCCCTGGAAACCATCGTGCTAAATTCCAGATGTATTCATCACGATGGGCTAACTTGACTTGCTTTTTCATTCCCACCTATCATCCCTCACTGGTGCCCCGCCAGGGTATACCGATAAAGCAAGTGGGGTTACCATTTCAATATTATGTTATGAAAAAAAAAAGCATTATGACCTAGTGGCAGTAGCGTAAATACCATCTAGCGCTCTTGGAAAATTCATCAGATAGGGTTCTTCCATTATTTAAATAAAAAAATAACCTAAACAACTTTCGATGGAGAGAATAGCCAAGTGGGTAGCTTTTTTTGCGTAGTTTATTTGTACAATTCATGTAATTTTTTTTATTATTTAATATTCAAATTCTCAGAATAATTAAATATTTTTTTTGTATTAATTTTCTGTAATGAATAATTAGATTCTTCCTGTATTCATGAATTCTCAAATCAGAGGTTCCCTAAGCTACTGTTACGCCACTGCCTAGTGGTATAAGTTTCTATACTACAAGCAGCCTGCATTGTAAGTCTGTGTAGTGTACTGTATACTAACCAGACTTATAGAGTTTAAGATCTATAAGTCTGATTAGTAATAAGTAAGTTTGAATGTGACCGTCAACAAAACTTGGAATTATGAATTTTATTTAAATTAATTTAATATTTTCGACTAAATTTCTAACGAAAAAAAAAACACCATTACCAGACCGAATTAATGTAAGTGATGGTAGAATTTGTGCATGCTGCAATTTAGGCATGTCTAATTCAAAATTTGCATGCTATGAGAGGCAAAACATAGTTGTATCTAAAATATATGCCTTTAACACATCTGTAATTTATTTTCTTTTATTTTTTTAAATAAATGAATGAAAACGTAATGAAACTATAACATAACAGACAATTAATATCTCTGGCTACCTTATCAGGAATTACAGTACTATAATATAATATATAGTTTAATGCAACTTAACTTAACTAATGGCAAACAAGCTGACGGTTCACCTGATAGGAAGTAGTAACTGTCGCCTATAGACATGAGCAGTACTATGGACATTACAGAGTATACTGTGTCGCCCATGATACCCTATATGCGTTGCCATTCCTGAGGACTAAAGGTGTAAATATTTATCAATTAAATATCATTGTAACATAATGATAAGTGTTTACTATAATATCAAGGTATAAGCTGTTTATTTATTTATTTATTTATTTATTTAATATCAAATGTGTATTTCTTTTTCAATTTAGCATAACACCTTAATCCTCAGGAATGGCAACGCATGGAAGGAACCATGAGCTAAATAGTATACTCTGTTATATCCGTGGTACTGCTCATGACTATAGGCGACGGTTACCACTTTCCATCAGGCGGGCCGTCAGCTTGTTTGCCATTCTAAGTTGCATAAACAAATGAACAGTCCTTATTTCTTCTGTCATCTTCAATTTTTCCTTTTCAATCCCTACCTATTCTTCTAATAAATTTATTGGAGTAACTCTATAAGTTTTTACATTATATACCTACCTATTCATTCAAACCATATTTTCCCTCCGTTCTTTGCTGCCTTCTCGTTTACTCGATCCTGATCGGGTCCTGACTGAAGCTCTAATCGAGGCTCTGATGGAAGCTCTAGAGCCTATAGCACTGGGTGCAGCCCTGACGAAGTTGTCGGATTCATTGCGACTGCTGATTGAGTGGCGTTTGATGTACCGTCCTGGATTCTCTTCATCTTCTTTTCTTTTTCTGGAAATGTATTTATGAATGAATGAATGAATGAATGAGTATACTTTATTTGCATTATCAAAATGATCTTGACATATTTGGACTCAGTTATAATCAATTTCGCAGACAATTGTATAAAATAATGTAATATTTAGAAATTTCTTATATAATTTTGTTTTGTTTTTTAATTAACTTTCTTTATATTTATGTTTCTTTTTATGTTTAATTTTTTCACTAATAGTTGCAACCTAATGGCTTTGTTGCAGTCGCATTTATTATTGGATCATGCTGTGTGCACATGTTGTGGCAAGTTTACCTACATCAATACATTATGTACTTGCATGTTAAAATTAAATTTGTATTTATAAACTTCTGTTATGTGCGCCTAATAAATAAAATAAAATAAAAATAAAATTATACAATATAGGAAATAAGCGAGACAATTTACAAACACAACGATACAATTGTATAAGTACAGTAAGTATATATATTAATATCCAATAAGGTTATGTTCCAGAAATCACTCGTGGTAGAACCTGATTAATTTGATTTAAAAACTGAACTATTAAATCGATTTTGTTAAAATTTCTATGGGACCAACCTAAAAGTATGTTCTTTCAGATAATTTTTTTATGCAACTTAGAATGGCAAATGGACATTATAGAGTATACTGTGTCGCCCATGATACCCTATATGCGTTGCCTTTCCTGAGGACTCAGGTGTTATTGTTTCTGTACCCTGTAATTTCATTGCCATATCTTAGCCTTCAAACCGAAACACGAGTACAGTAATGCAAACATAACTGCTTCACGGCAAAAATACGAATTGGACAGAGAAACCCAAGCAGGTGACTGGTTCCTTCAACCGACTTCAAAAAGAAGGAGGTTCTCAATTCGATTGTATTTGTTGTTTGTTACCACATAGCTACTAGTGAAGCTGTAATGTAAACTGATTTGGATATTTTTTTATCTAAAAGGATATATTTACAGACTAACCTTTTAGAAATTTTATCAAAATCGGTTTAGTATTTTAGTTTTTAAATCAAAACCACTGGTTCTGCCATAATTGTTGTCGGTTTTCTGTGGAGCACATTCTTATGTCAAAAGTTTATAAAGAAAATACTATCAAATGAAAAAATTCTTACTTGGGGAAGCAAGGCATATCCCAGAACCTCTGATCCTTGCCGAAATTCTCTCCATCTTGTAGGGTCTGAGGCATCTCCGTGTCCATTGTCTCGGGCAGGAACAAGCACAGAAGACCACCAACAATACCCAGAATACCAAGAATGAGGAGTGGGAGATCCTGAGAAATGTTGGCCTGAAAAATTGTAAAGTATATAACTAAATGATGAGATAAATATATATTTAGTATCTAGATATATTTCAGTCAGAAGTCCCAAGCTACGAAGAGTTAGTAACCTAACAGTAAAGGAAATAGTATAGACGCAGCCCATATAGGAGTTCGTCTATACGATTTTCACCATTGTATAACTCGCTATCGGCAGGCAATCCATCCTCACACCTAAGAACCAGAATAATCACGCACAGTGCGGTTTCAAAAGAGCTTCCTTCCGCGAACACTCAGGTTGTGGAATAATTTTCCTGCCAAGGCTTTCCCTAAAGACTACAGTGCGGGGTTCTTTAAAAAGGGCGTATTAAGGTTTCTTAAAGGTCAGCAACGTGCACGTGACATCCCTGGTGTTATAGGCTACGGTAAGCCCGCTTACCATCAAACGGGCAGTATGCTTGTTTGCCATCATAATTTTATAAAAAAAATTAGATGCTAGACAACTGATAGAGGTACTATATTTTTTTCAATAACAACGATATGCCTTCTCCAGTTGACCACATCACTCTTTGGAAAAAATCAGTCTCTTTGGAAACTATTGGCAAATAAGCTGACACCTCATCTGATGAAATGTGGTAACCGTCGCCTATAGACATGGAAACTTTGCCCTAATTTATTTAATCGAAAAGAAGCACTTACTAGGTAGACCACAAATGGTGCCACTATAGAGGCGACATAGCCCATTATATGGATGAGGGCAACGCCCTGTGCCCTGACCACGGTGGGCAGTAACTCAGCCGCGTATTGGAGACCAATGTTGTACGATATATTCACGGCGAAGCGACCGAGAATGGCCAGGGACGCTGATGGACCGCCTGTCAAATAAAAAAATAATCATACTCAGCCACATTATAAACCTTAAAGGTATTCTACTGGCTTTAGCCACATTTCATCGAGCATATTAGAATACAATGTGGCAGGGAGCACGTTTACCGCCGTTATTCGGATTTATTTTAGATCATTTTGGTTACCAAGATAAGCACTCTTATTAAAGTTGCATGGAAATATTCTAATAAAGTCATCTTTTGGAGTTGCAGGAAAACTCTCGTAATAGGGATCTTTAAATCATTAATTTAAGATTGACAAACGTTTGAGGTTTTCTAACCTAAAGGCTCTGTACCCAAAAATCAGAAGGTGAAATATAACCAACACTAAAAGTTACCTTCGTAATTTCCTACTATCTAGTCGTAGTGATAGTGAAAGATTTGTCTGTACTTAGGGAAATATGGACAGTCTTAAAAAAATTTGCCCATATTCCCAAGAAACAAACTGAAAAAAATTTGTAAAGATTGCCTGCAATTATGGTTTACACTAAATGACATACGAGTAACGTGTGTTCCTTGATAAAAAAATTAGTTCTTGATAATATCAAAACGTACGATGAGAAAAAGTAGCTGTGGATATACTGAATAATATATACCTATGGGAACAGCTGTGGCTAACAGGCTGAAGATGCCACTAATAACCATAGATCCACATGCCAGCCATCTTCTGCCCCATCTGGAAACGTTAATATTAGGTTTTATTTCGCTAGGGTACTGCTCTAGGAGAGATCTAGTCAGACCCATCACGATCGATAGAACATATAATATTGAACTACTGATAAAATGTATTTTAAATAGTGAAGCAGGTTATAATGAAAACGTAACTAAAAAACCATTTATGCAATGATTGGTTTCGTTGTTAGTTTTGTAAGATAGAAGCAAAGATTTTCAGAAGACTTTGTGTATAGTGTGTTTATCTCAATAAACCCTGGCTATATAGGAGTTCCAGTTATAGAAATATGTACTCGTAGTATAATCGTCCCAAAACTATACACAGGGGACAAAGAATCTTCGTTCATATAAAATTGAGAAATGCTTGATGCATTTGCAAATGCAAGATAAAAGAATTGTTTGTCCACTATCTATAGACACCAATAGTCGATCAATATAGCATGAACATTGCAGAATTTCGAAATCTTATTGTAATTTTATGGTTGTAGCACGCTTCTAAGGTTCTCTAGTAAATATAGGTAAATATGCCTCTGATCATTCTTGTCCTGTAGTTCGAGCATAAAATGGGCCACCCCTACTTTTCCACTCGTAAGAGGTGGTTAAGAAAACTTAATAGTCAAGGGATAAGCAACAACGTCCCTCTTAAAACATCACCAAGGGCTGGCTGCGGTTGCCAATCCGCCTACCAAGTTTTTTTTTTTTTTTTTTTTACAACACAGGGGGCAAACGAGCATGCGGCTCACCTGATGGTAAGTGACTACCGCCGCCCATGATCACCCACAACACCTACGGCATTGCAGGTGTGCTGCCGGCCTTTTAAAAAGGAATATGCTCTTTTCTTGAAGGTTATGTTGTCGTATCGGTTCGGAAATACTGCTGCTGGAAGTTGATTCCAAAGAGTGGTTGTGCGTGGGAGAAAGTGCCTTGAAAAACGCACGGTGGAGGACCGCCACTTGTCCAGATGGTTGGGATGAAATTTTAGTTTATGGCGGGTTGTACGATGGTGAAAATCTGCAGCAGGTATCAATCCGAACAATTCTTCAGAGATAAATTCACTCCCTCATGATAAATTCGGTAGAAAATGCACAGAGATGCAACATCTCTGTGTGGCCTCACGCATATAGTTCCAGTGGGTCGAGTCGGACAGTAATCGACGCCGATCGACAACAATTCGAGCTTTTTTGCGGTGAACGCGCAGACTTGTGTCCCGACTTTGAATGAGCGAAGTTTCGATTTCAGACACAAGTCTGTTCCGGAGCTCATCGGTATGTGTCCGCGAGATCTTTGCATGACCGGTGTATAATGCATCTCCTGTACTGTCGTCTGCATAACAATGAATATCACTGATCTGTAACATATCATTGATATGCAGAAGAAACAGTGTCGGAGATAGTACACAGCCTTGCGGGACACCAGCATTCACAGGTTTTAAGTCAGAGCATGCTCCGTCGACTACGACCTTAATGCTACGTTCCTTAAGAAAACTGGCGACCCAACTGCACAATCTCGCAGGCAACCCAAACGAAGGTAGTTTTGAGATTAGTGCCCTATGCCACACCCGATCAAAGGCTTTCGCAATATCCAGACTAACAGCTAAGGCCTCTCCCTTATTCTCGATTGCCACCGCCCATCGGTGTGTTAAATAAACTAAAAGATCACCAGCCGAGCGCCCCCGTCGAAAGCCGTACTGGCGATCTGAGATCAGCTGGCGATCCTCTAGGTACCGGAGCAGTTGATGGTTAACAACTGATTCCATGACTTTCGAGAATAAGGTGATAGCTATGGGCCTATAGTTAGCTGGATCTGAGCGGTCTCCTTTTTTAGGGATCGGATGCACCAAAGCAGTCTTCCAAAACTTTGGGACTATACCTGATGAGTAACAGAGCCGAAAAAGACGCGTAAGAACCGGAGCCAACTCTGGTGCGCACGTCCTAAGCACAATTGGAGGAATGCCATCGGGCCTACTCGACTTATGGATTTCAAGGGAGAGAAGTGCTCTACGCACTGATCTTTGCGTGAATTTAACATCCGGCATAGAGCTCTTACAACGCGGGATGGTCGGCGGTGGTTTCTCCTCGTCATCCAACGTCGAGTTTGATGCAAAGAGAGATCCAAGGAGATCGGCCTTCTCTTTGGCGTTCAGAGCCAACGAGTTATCCTCCCTGCGCAATGGTGGAAAAGATGACTGACAGAAATTCCCTTGTGCAGCTTTGGCAAGAGACCAGAAAGCTCGAGACCCCGAAGGTAAACTAGCCAATCTCTTGCCAATTCCACCAATATGCTCTGACTTCGCTGTGGCCAAAACTCTTTTGAAGGACCTAGAGGCAAAGTTATACTTCTTTTTAAGGGCACTGATGTTAGGATCTCGCGACGCCACACCTTTGGCCCAGGCTAGGAAGCACTCCTGTTTCAGGCGAGATGCTATTCTACAAGAGGCTCCATACCAGGGCTGGGATTTCCCACCGACAGGTACCACAGAGTTAGGAATAAATAATTCCATTCCCTGAAGCACAACATCGGCGATGGAATTGGCGATGGCGTCGGGGTCCCTCAGTGCGAAGCAAACCTGCCTCCATGGGTAAGATGCGAAAAAAATCCGCATCTCATCCCAGTCTGCCGACCTGTAGTGCCAAACACGACGTCTACCCGTGGAACGTGGTGGAATCGGACTCATGAGAGGCACCTCGCTCCGCACCAGACAGTGATCCGACGATCCAAGCGGAGCTTCGACGGAAATCACATAGTTGTCTGGGTGGGTGGTCAGCAAAAGGTCCAACAGTGAAGGTGAATGGTCCAACACATCAGGTATTCGCGTAGGCGAGGAAACAAGCTGCGTCAGACCATAAGCCAAAGCAAAGTCATGAACAGATCTTCCCGCATAGTCGGTTGTACGTGAACCAAGCCATTCGGTATGGTGGGCATTAAAATCGCCAAGAATCACGACTTCAGCGGAAGGAATCTGTTCGAGCAGGGAATCTGTAGTCATTTGGACGTGCTCAATGAGTTGGTCGGTTTCGATGTTACCGCTGTGGGACCTGTATAGGCATGCATAGACGCGAGGATGGTCATTGCAGTCTACGCGCAGCCATAAAATAGACAGGTCCGTACCTTCAAGAATTCCAAGGCGGCGACAGCAGATATCCTCTCTGACATACGCGCATACACCGGCACGCGAAACAAAACAATGTTCAAGTTTATATCCCGGGTACGTCAGGTATGAAGTTTCGTTTGGAGAGGATATCTGTGTCTCCGTTAGAAAGAGCAATGCCGGCCGCGCCGTTTCTAGGTGGTGGTGAACAGCGTTTAAGTTAGAATGTAATCCCCTGATATTGCAGAAGCTCACATTGAGCGAAGGGGATGCCGTAGAAATCTTGCTCCGTTTGCCCTTGGTTCCAAAGAGCGGAATTTTGCCCCCCCCCCCCCCCAGAATACGCAGGGCAGCCCGAGCGTGGTTGCTCGAGAGAGGATTCTCCAGCAACATGGTTACTGGTACCTCCCTGGGGTATGTTATTTTTTTTTAATTCCACTACCATGGTTGCGTGTTGTAAGATAGGGGGACGGGGTTGGGGAAAGGATTTTAGGAATAGGAAAGGGATGGGTATGGGATGGGTATGGGATGGGCCTCCGGACTCCCTCACTCACCATACGGAATGTGATCGCACTAAAAGTGCAACCACTTAGCGTCGTTATTCTGTGAGGGTGTGGTACTTCCCCGGTCGAGCCGGCCCATTCATGCTGCAATACCATATAGGATTACAGCGTGGCTCTACCACAATAAAAAGTGGTAATTACTTACAAGTGTGGTAATTACTGGCAAAACTCCCTTTATGGAGAAGGCCATAAAGGGAGTAATAACCTAACAGTGGACATTAATGACTGATATGATGATGATGATGCCTCTGAAGTGTATATGAATATTGTATCAGGAAATACAATAGCGCGGATATAAATGTCAGTGTTAAATGGATTTTAAAATACTCACCTATCCAAAACAGCAGTTAAAAAGGTATCAGCTGGTAATTCTGTAGCTGACGCTATGGTGAAGGTCAAGAAGATGTCCAATCCTAAAGATCCCACATTCCTGACATGGCCATCGAAGACCAAAGATATCGCCATCCATATGATGATGAGAAGAATAGCGTTCCTCCTTAAACGTGGAGTTTTAAAGAGATCCAATACGGAATAAGTTTTGGATTCAGCTTCCGAATCTTTGATTGTTGTAAGAGACGATTCCTGTAAAAAAATATTCAAATAATTTTTGTATATATTTTTTTCATTTATAGATACAAGTTTGTGGTGGTTGTGACATGTTGGAGCAAAACAATATCTATACAGTTATAAATTTTCATTAAAGTCAGTTGAGCCGTTTTGGAAATTAGCGTAAATAAACATACTATGAACGAATGGCGCAAACTAGTTGATCATTGATGACAGTTGGGTTTTAATAACTAGGTATCCCGTCAATAAGATATTTTATGTACCACTGTGCAGAACTAATATAGGATTGAGTGCTCCACTTGCGAGAATATACAATAAATATAATCATATATGCGGTTTAGATCCGGATATGGATGTAAGCCATGTCTCGTTGGCAGTGTTTCGCGGTAAAGTACTGAAGACCCTGTAGATTTGATAGTACTGCCTAGTCTTGCTTTATATTTGAATTTAATAACTAACATATATTCATTGTAAATTTAATTTATTATATTAATTTTATTGTGACATTTATGTGCATGTAGTTTATAGTCAACGTTGTATATCCGTGCTGTAGTTATGCATATCAGCATGTTGGATTAAAAGAAGGATAAAGGACAAACCTGGTTCACGTAGTACTCGCGTGTACGTCTTTTGTACGCGTTTTTGTTCTATCTTCAAATTATCCAACATTTTTGTTGGTTCACTTAAGTATCACTGTATGTTGCGCGGAGATCGCGGCTGATTGAATAATTCGCAACTGGCGGAGATTTGTTCGTGATCTTAGCGGAACTTGATCAGCTCGACGCACAGTTGGATTACAGACTGACTTTGTCGATCTACCCCCCAATGTGATCTCAGATTTGATAGAGAATATGGATAGGTAAGGAGGGTAAAAGAATATTGCGTTCGAAAATGTTTAATGCATATACAAATGATAAGACTTTATTTACCAAGCATTATACAAAAAAAATATTATTTATGCCGGTGAGCCTATTTCAAATAAATAATAAATAGTCATGATGACAATTCATGAGGATCAATACGTGCTGAATATAAATTATAATATAGACTTGAAGCAAAGATTAAAATAAATGTACAAACCGCGAACTCGCTGAGAACTTTCTCGGGTATTTTGGTCTTATTTATCCTTTCGAACTTCTTCATGATAGTGAGCGCTTTGTCGATCTTGCCCTGGGATACCAACCATCTAAAAAGTATGTTATATATCAATATAAAAAAAAAAAAAAACATCACTGAAGTTTAATTTATAGTTCTTGAAGACTTGAGGCAGGACTAGCCTCCCCCATAAAGGGTTATGGGGGAGGTCTATGTCCTGAAGTGGATAATTAACGACTGGTATGATATAATAATATAAAAAATTTAATTTTTTAGACATTAAAAGACTTTTTAACTTTAAAAAATTTACTTAAGGTCATTAACCTGGACTGGAGCATATGGACAGCATACCCAGGAAGTTTGTTGCATTTCCTGGCTGTATGGTGATTAAAATGCTTTGGCCAAACTATTAATCAGCCTTCGGTTGCTAGAGATTTTTACATGTAGGTATGAAAGATTTCCTTCTTTCCTTTCCTGTGGATGTCCTAAGAGGCGATTAAGGAAACTTAAAGGTCGAGGGATGGGCAGCAGTGTCCCTTTTAAAACATCACCGTCCCTTTTAAAAAATGTAAAATTCAACTTACCTGGCACTTTCTGGGACTAGCCAAGGTGTCGCCGCAGCTAATACGAAGGGCAGACTAGTGCCGACAGCAAACTTCCTCCAGTCATCGGCCCATAACGCTATCCAGGGCAGCAGGGACGCGGCGAGCGTGAAGAATAATGCTATAGACATGTTCGCCACGAAGGTACGCCATTTTGGGCCAACGTATTCTAATACTGAAAATAGAAAAAATAATATTTTATACCACTGAGGTGGCAAATGAGCAGGGCCCATCTGATGGTAAGCGGTTACCGTAGCCTGCAATACCAGGAGCATTACGCGCACATTGCCGACCCTGAAGAAACCTCTTTACACCTTTTTTTTATGAACCCCACGCTCTAGTCTTTTGGAAAAACTTCAGTAGGGAGCTCACTCCATAACCTAAGCGTTCGTGAGAGGAAACATTTCTGAAATTGCGCTGTACGCGACCATCTATGTCGGTGTTTCCGAACGTGGGGCCCATGCCTCACAGGGGGGCAATTTGATAGTTAAGTGGGGCATTTAAAAATGGACTCGAAACGATTTTAACCCTCTTGTTCCGGGCCATTTAAATGCAATGCTACGAGTAGATATCGGTGACTAATTAAACAAAAATTAAATTAAAAAAAATGGCACAAAAAAGGTTGGGAAACACTGATCTAGGCTCTAAGGTGGTAGGGTATTGTATTTCATAAGTTTATAACTTTAAGTTACCGAAGTAGCATAGTGGCGATTATGTGTCAATATTCAAGAACAATTAAATATTTTTAAAAAGTGCTAGCGAAACAGGGGAAACGACATGCAGCTCACCTGTTGGTTAGTGCCTACCGCCGCCAGTACATTTACTATTTATGACATTTTTGAAGATTAATTTAAAAATAAAAGTAAAATACCTTGAACGACGAAACCAATCAAACCGGTATAATTTTTTTTTTTGTAGAAGACTACAAGTATTTTTCTATTAATTTCTTTTTTTTTATATTACTTACAATGGCAAACAAGCTGATGGCCCACCTGATGTAAAGTGGTAACTGTCGCCTATAGACATGAGCAGTACCATGGACACAACAGAGTATACTGTTTCGCCCATGATACCCCCCATGCGTTGCCATTCCTGAGGACTGAGGTGTTACTTGTATTCCTGTACCCTGTAATCTCACGCCATATCCCACCCTTCAAACCGAAATACAGCCATGCAAATACAACTGCTTCACGGTTGAAACATGAATGGGACAGAGGTACCCAAGCAATCGACTTTTGTACAAACTCTCCCTCTGGGAGATGTATCAATATGTATGCAAAGTTCCATCGAGTACCAATAATTACATCTATTAACCTATTTAATTTTTGTTTGTAATTAAATATGAACCCAAAAAATAAGTGAATATTTTTTTTACCTTTTGAACAATTAAAAAACAATAAAAACTGACTTCAAATGTGACAAAACCTATTTTATTATTAATACTAAGCTGCTAAACTTCTTTCTTTCTTTCTAAACAAATTTTGATAAAATTCCTTTGGAACCAATCTATTTTAGATAAAATTTTCCAAACCGGTTACCCAACTGACGGAGATTGAGGTAATAATCATAAAAAATACAACCGAATTAAAACTTTCTTCTTTTTGAAGTCGGTTCAAAAATTACATTATAAACGAGAAACATGAGCTGTATTTTATTTAAAAAACAATGCAAAGTCGGGGCGGGGTCACTTGTATACAATATTCTCAAGAGCGGAAATGAGAGTTATTATGGGCGTCACAGTGTATTCTTTGATATGAACGGTGCTTGTTCATGTCTACAGGCGACGGTTACCACTTTCCATTACATAGGTCAAACATCAGCTTATTTGCCGTATAAGTGCATTGCGAATCGATACACTTTAGAAAGCAGTTGTGTTTGCATGGCTGTGTTTCGGTTTGAAGGATGGGATAAGGCAGTGAATTTACAGGGTACAGAGGAATAACACCTGAGTCCTCAGGAATGGCAACGTATGGGGGGTATCATGGGCGAAACAGTATACTCTGTTATGTCCATGGTACTGCTCATGTCTATAGGCGACGGTTACCACTTTCCATCAGGTGGGCCGTCAGCTTGTTTGCCATTCTAAGTCGTATAAAAAAAAATGAAATTACACTTACCAAGTATATACATCATGGTGAAGCAGTTATCAAACGCTAATCCAACAAGGAAGCGACACAACGCGAACGACCAGAAACTGTTGCAAAACGCTGTGCCAATACCCGCACCGAACCCAATCAGATTTGTCCCTGGAAGTGATATTTGTTATTATTGTTTCAGTTGACTGTCCACTGCTGGACATACATAAGCCTTCCCCATAGGAGGGAAAAGGATTGTTAGCAATGGAGTTTGACGGCCCCTTTGCTAGCAATACGTCCTATTATGTAGACCTCCACGTGGTTCCCCCTGGAAACCATCGTGAACAATTCTTGTTGAATTCGTCACGATGGGCTAACTAACCTGCTTCATCTATCATCCTCACCTATCATCCTTCACTGGTGCCATGCCGGTGTATACCGATAGCGCGGGTGGGGTTACTATTCCATTATCAGCCATTAAAATAAAGCCTGCTCCATAAGGAGAGTTTTGCCAGTAGTTGCCCCGCTTAGCGGGCGGGTTGGCAACCACAGTTAGGCTTTTAGAGATGTTTTAAGAGGGACGCTGCTGCCCATCCTTTGCCTAGAAATGATATATGTATATTTATTTATTTAGTATTGTATATAGCTTTTATGTATATACAAGAAAGGAGAATAGGTAAATATCTTACCAACTAGAGCTGGTATCCTTCCATACTTGTCAGCTATCCAGCCGAACACCAGCCCCCCAACTATGGCACCGCAGAAAAAGATGGCCTGAGCTGTAGCCGGCAAGTTGTCCTTTTCGCACACCCAGTCCAGCTATACGTGGGAAAGAGAGAATAACTGTTTATTAAATCAACTTTATCGCATTAAAATATTCCTAATGGGAAATAATTTGACCAGTATAAATCTAATATGTCAAGTCCTCGTAACCAGAACTGATTGCATCATGAAATCAAAGAAAAAAATATTACATACATACGTACATATCTGCCACGCCTGTCTCCCATTAGGGAAGGCAGAGACAATGGAACGCCAACTGCTTCGATTCATACAAATCTCTTTCGCTTCCTCTATATTCATCAATCTCTTCATACACGCTCCCTGGTTACGGATACTGTTAATTTGGCCCTTCTGTAGCACGTCGCCTATTTGGTCGACATTTATACGTCTAGGGCGGTCCCTACCGACATCTCCATTTATTCTATCTCGACAAATCTCTTTCGTAATTCTTCTTCTATCAATCCTCTTTAAATTTATTATTTTATCACCAACCAATTTTTGGTCACCAATACAAGATAAACCGAATGTTTTTTTGTTTTTTTTCAACAAAAAAATATTAATAATAATTAACTTATAGAGAACTTATAAAGGTATTTAAGTTTTATTTAAATTTTTGTTACAAAAGGAAACATTCAGTCAACTAATTAATATTTGTACTACTGTTGAATATCAGCAGACTGGGGGGAAAGGGATTGTTAGTAATGGGGTCTAATAGCCCCATTACTGGCAATATATCCTCTCAGGTTGACCTCCACGCGGTTCCCCCTGGAAACCATCATGTTTAATTTATGTCGAATTCATCATGGTGGGCCAACTAACCTGCTTTCATTCTCACCTACCATCTTCCACTGGAGCCTCTTCGGTGTATACCAATAGCGCGGGCGGGGTTATCAATCCATTTTCACTCATTAAAAAAAAAATATCAGCAGACTGTCTTATGCAAGCAGGTGACCGATCGTAAAACTAACAGCCAAAACCATGGGTGGATAAAAACATATTACGCCGATACCCAAAATTTATAGAAATGGGATAAGGGGAAGAAAATGACGATGATGGTGATGTAAATACATTCACAGCTAGTGTTACAAGCCATAAAACTCACCTGGGATGCAATGGTATCATACGGAACATCGCTCTTGTTGTACTCCCAGCCGTGGGCGCACGGCACCACGGGCCACTCGTCGTCCGGTGTGGTCCTGCCCTGCGCAAGCGCAACCGACCAGTCGGCCGAGTACATACTACACCGGTCGTGGGGAAACGGTCCGTCTGATTTGGGGGGTATTGCTAGGGCGCGCCTGGAAATTAATAAATTGGAATCATCGATTTTTTTATTATGTGTAAAAGCACTTAAGGTTCAAAAATGTTTTTGCTTTATCTGTTTTAGAAAATCAAATGACACATCTTATTACATTGTTTTATTGCGAACTGAAGTAACAACCCCTTTTTTCTATTAATATTATAAAATAATATATATATATATATATATATATATATATATATATATATATATATATATATTGTATTTCTTTATTTATTTTTATGAACTTACTATAAATAGCTACAACAACATGTGTTGTTGTAGAAGTCGTTAACTGTCCACTGCTGAACATAGCATACCCCATACCTTCCTTGGTATTGCCAGTAGTTGCCACGCTTGACAACCGATTTGGCAACCGTAGTTTAACTTCTGGTAATGTTTTAAGAGGGGCGTAGCTATCCATCCGTCCACCATAAGCTTCCTTAGTGGCCTCTTACGACACCCATCAGAAAGGAAGGGAGGCTTATTCTATGCTGGGACTATATGTATGTACAATGTAAAATATATATATGTATAATGTAGGTGATATGAGTATTATATATATGTTATTTTTAAATTACTGTTTAAATTTAATACTGTTCATTACGTTGCACTGTCAATCATATTTTCTATTATTCCTGTCTACAGTCGACTGGTAGATAACGCCATATGGTGTTAAGTCCGCCATTTACACTATCTAGGTGTAGTAAAGTTTAATAAATGAATAAATAAAATTATTATTATTTGATATATGCGTACACTATTTTACTCTCCATTATTGTTAATGCTTCTAATATTATGTTTTTATAATGCTTATTGGGTACCTCTGTCCCACTTGTGTTTTTGCCACGAAACAGTTGTGTTTGCATGGCTGTTATTTGCGAGTCGATTTGTAAAAATCTTTTTTTTATCTGAAAAGATATATTTGTAGATTGGTTCCATAGAAATTTTGTCAAAATCTGTTCAATAGCTTAGTTTTTAGAACAAAATAACCGGTTTTAACACAATTGACCATTTTTTGCATGATGGTGGAAATTTCCATAAAAACATTGAATGCCCAAAAAATATATAAAAGAACAAGTTCACTTTAAGTTGATCGTGACTGGATACCTTTTTGATGTCCATTGTAGAAAAAAAAACATAGCTGACAAATTTATTTTTTAAGCATTTTTCCTTTAATTTTTAACATGAATTATATCACCTTGATTTATTCATGCAAAGAAGGGGTAAAGTTTTTTTTTTGTGGGACACGATCTTTAATTATTTTACATGTTGTTAAACTTCCTAGAGTGCCTGTCAATTATAATTTCCTATAAGTCGCAAAACCTTCAGGAAGAACCTTCAGTTAGTAATAAGTAGCTTTCGTTATCACTAGCTTTAGGGCATGGCCGCTCCCAGAATAGCAACTATTGCGTTCGAATGAAACCTGTTCCAAGTAAACATAAATCAAAGACTCAAACCACTTCGGTTGAGCTATTACTTTCATATTTAGAGCCCCACTTTATACCTACTTTAGGATTTTCATTATTATATCAACTTATTAACTGTCCACTGCTGAACATAAACCCCTCTGGAGGTTTGCCAGTAGTTGCCATGCTTGGCAAGCGGATTGGCAACCGCAATCAGGTTTTAGAGATGTTTTAAGAGGGACGCTGCCCATCCCTCGCCCTCCTTTTATCGGTTCCCGCGGTTGTCCACGGGAAAGGAAGGGCTGGCCTATTCGTATATTATACATATATTAATTAAGTATAAATTAAAACGAGACAAACACAGGATTTATTCCTATAGATTACAAAATAACGGTTAACCGTCAATGCTTCTAACATGGTCAAAATTTTACAAGTTTCACAAAAAAAATTATAATTCTGATTTTATTCCAAATACTACGAAATTAATAAGTGAAGTTTAAACTCTTAATATATTAATATAGAATTTATTTCTTTATGTAACATAGAAAAAAAGCAATAGCGGACTAAGACTGTCAGAGGCCCGAGGTGGCAAAGCCCAGAGAGCATCAATTTAAGCAGTTAACATAATTTTACAAGGTATTTATTCATTTTACATTTGTATCTATAAGTGTTTATGTTTATTTCGTTATAAGTTTGCAAGTGAAATTCAAATTAAACTTAAATAAACATACATAGAATATGGACAAGGAAAATGGAGGCAAATTGAGGCATTTGGAGCCTCCCCCCCGTTCCAAAATACCGGGACGGACCGCCCCTACTTTATCCGCAACTTAAGAGTAGTAATGTAAATTAGAAAAAAAAATGTTTACAACTAACTCAGTTGGGAGGTAGTAGTGATTATCTAAACCTTTCAAAAGGAATTGACAAAATTGATTCAGAATTGACAATGTAATCGCATAATGTAGCCCTAAAAATTAAAACAACTTTTTTTTATATAATATAGGAGGCAAAAGAACATGCGGCTCAACCAATAATAAGTGTTGCTGGCCTTTTGATAGACGTGTATATAGCTTTAAAGAGCATTGTTTTGACCATATGGAACAATAAACATAATTCGAAATAAAAATATTTAACGGTTTCCCTCCAAAAGTCTATGGAACATTTTCCCGCCAAACGATCTGTCAATAAGTTTGACAGCCGCTGTCACCGGAATATCAGATAGATAAAAAATATTCATCTACAAAATTATAATCGTCTAGCGACCTCAAAACAAAGGTCGAGTGCACAATAGCAAAAGGTTGTTGAATTTCGTGCAATACAACCAGGGCCATATCTAATCGAGCATTTAATTTGCCGGTATTACGTATCAGTTCCGTGCTTTTTATTACTAAATATTAGATTATTTCGTCAGATAGTTCCTAACATTTCCTGAACAATTTAAAAATATGAGCCACGACTTATAGTTGAATCGAGTATTTTTTTCAATGATGGTTATTTTAAAAGTATTGTTCTTGTTAATCATCGACCGGACATTGTTCCTTTGTCGGATATGCGGCATTTTCTGGCATGACTAATCATGGAGTACAGAATAAGAATATTTAAATGAAAGTTGAACAACTATTAAAAACAACGTAAACACACACACACACACACACACACAACACGGCGCGTGCACACGCATGCACACACATACAATACCTGAGCATTCTGAGTACTTCTTAATTATTTAATAAGGAATACATTAAGTATTGTATACCCGGAATTGGATATTAAAAATAACAGAACAATATTATATGTAGTATTCAAAAGCTGTGGATATAAATAAATATTATAGATTTTTTTTTTATTAGTAGGGAGTAAACGAACCACCGATGATCCACCTAATGGTACCGTTATTTAGTTGTTGCTAAACTTCTTAAATATATAGCACGTTTTTGGGTGGTTTATTGTGAGAGAGTGATTTAAATAAATACTTTTTTAACATCGAAGCGGGTAGTGTATACTTAGCTTTTAAATAAGTTGGGGAGTCAGTTTTTATAGGTAGGTATAGTTTTTAAAGATAGAATAAAAAAAGTTGATTGAATCTATTAGTCTATTGAACAATATAGTAGATGGCAGCTTATATAGTTCATACAAAAGGTCATGACATTAGCAGCAGGAAAAAAAAAATAAAAAAAAACAATAGTGATTATAAAGCGAGAAATTAATATTTGGACCATAATATGCGTAGCGTATTTTTTTCCTGATGTTGCACTTGGATGAATGAATAGATTAAGCATACCCCCTGCTGTGAACCAATAAAACTTTTTTATTGTATTATTTAATACATTTGATAAAAAAAATAAGGAAATTAAATATACAGGACTAAAAACTCTTTTGACTATTTGGGATTTAGATAAAAAAAAAAAAACAATTTCAAACTAGACAAACTTACTTAGCCATTGATCATCAGATTAAAAAAAAAAAAGAAATCTTTGCATGAAAAAGACGTACGCTCAAAAAACATAAGTAAATTAAGAATTCCCTAGCATTGTATAATATTTTAGCTTCATCACATTACCCAAGTTTTTTTTTTTGATGGGTGAAAATGGTATGGTAACCCCGCCTGCGCTAACGGGATACGCTGGCGAAGCACCAGTGAAGGGTGATAGATGAGAATGAAAACAGGTCAGTTAGCCCATCATGATGAATTCATCAGGATTAACCATGATAGTTTCCAGGGAGAAACGCGAGGAGGTCGACCTGGTTGGGTATATTGCTAGCAATGGGATTCTCAGTCTCCATTACTAACAAAGTAGCCAAGTTGGAATAGAGTGGTATTCCTATGGTAATTTACCATTAGACCGGCAGTATGACTGTTACCCTTTGCCTCTTAAAAAAAAAAGCAGTAAACAACAAGTTCTTGACCCACCGACTAAGGAATCCTAACCAAGGACAATAGTTGCATAATGCATTCGTTTTTATTTATAATTGCCAATAATTGTAAAGTATTATAGAGATATTTCTGATAAAACCATTTTATAAATTCTTCTAGATTGCTACTTCGTTGCGCGTGAATTGAAAAACACGTGTTATGGCTCGTGTATGGAATAACAAATTATAGAGATTTGATGAAGATTACGTGTTTCGACCGTGAAGCAGTTGTGTTTGCATGGCTGTGTTTCGGTTTGAAGGGTGGGATATGGCGTGAATTTACAGGGTACAGAGGAATAACACCTGAGTCCTCGGGAATGGCAACGCATGGGGGGTATCATTGGCGAAACAGTATACTCTGTTATGTGCATGGTACTGCTCATGTCTATAGGCGACGGTTACCACTTTCCATCAAGTGGGCCGTCAGCTTGTTTGCCATTCTAAGTTGTACAAAAAAAAGGTCCTATTCTTGGTTTCGAGAGATGGGGTTTTTTAATGGATCGTATCATTGATAGGTGTTAGGTGAGAATGAAGTCAAATTAGTAATTCCATTATGAAGTACTGGGAATTAACCACGATGGTTTTTAGGGGGAACTGTATAGAGGTCGACCTAACTTGTTCTTATGTTGGGGGAAAGGGATTGTTAGTAATGGAGACTGAGAATCTCATTACTAGC